ACCGCTGGACCATCAGGGAAGTCCCAATGGAGGTAATTAAGCCAACTTAAATAATGAACATTCATTCTTTAGGAAAAAACGTTAGTTTTATTTATTTATTTCTGTGGTACGCGGGCCTCTCACTGTTGTGGCCTCTCCCATTGCGGAGCACAGGCTCCGGATGCACAGGCTCAGCAGCCATGGCTCACGGGCCCAGTCGCTCCGCGGCATGTGGGATCTTCCCGGACCGGGGCACGAACCCGTGTCCCCTGCATTGGCAGGCAGACTCTCAGCCACTGCGCCACCAGGGAAGCCCACGTTAGTTTTATTTTGCCCTTTTATGTATTGATAATATGTAGTTGAAATTCTTCCTGTTGCATGTGTTTTTTTAACCAGTATTTCTACAAATTAATGTTATTGACACCAATCCTGTGAGCCCTTAACTTTTTGAGATCTTCATATTTTTCTTGCTGAGGTATTTATTCTACCTCTTCCTTGTTTGTTACACATCCTCCTCTTTTTTTTTTTTTTAACTACTTTTGTGTTAGGTTTTCACAGTTCAAAAATGTATGGGTTTCTCTCAGTCTTTATTGTTGTTTTTTTTCTTTTCTTTTTAAAATTCTAAGTCAAAAAGTCTATCTCCTAGTTGTTTTTCTAGGAGATGGCTTTGTAAAATATTTAAATCATTACTCCATGCAATGTTAAGTTTACTTACATTGTTGTGACACGGATCTCCATAACTTTTTCATCTTTCAAATCTGAAGCTCTGTACCCATCAAACAACTCCCCACAACCCCTGGTAACCACCATTCTACTTTCTATTTCTATGAATATGACTACTGTAGGTACTTCATATAAGTAGAATTATAGTATTTGCCCTTTTGTTATTGCCTTACTTCACTTAGCATAATGTCCTTAAGGTTCATCCATGGTAGCATGTGTCAGAATTTCCTTCCTTCTTAAGGCTGAATAAATATTCTATCATATGTATATACCGATTTTGTTTATCTCTTCGTTCGTTGATGGACACTGGCTTCTACCTCTTGGCTATTATGAATAATGCTGCAATAAACATGGGTATACAAATACCTCTTTGAGATCCTGCTTTCATTTCTTTTGGTTATATACCCAGAAGTGGAATTGCTGGATCGTATGGTAATTGTATTTCATTTTATTTTTTCAAAGAACCACCATACTGTTTTCCATAGTGGCTGCACCATTTTATATTCCCAGTCAACAGTGCACAAGAGTTCCAGTTCCTCCATATCCTCACCAACACGTATTTTCTGTGTTTTTCATAGTAGCCATCCTAATAGGTGTGAGGTGCTACCTGATGGTTTTGATTTGCATTTCCCTAATGATTAGTGATGTTGAGAATCTTTTCATATTAATGACTTATTAGTCATTTTCATATCACTTTATGTAAATGCCTATGCAAGTCCTTTGTCCATTTTTTTTTGCCGTACGCGGGCCTCTCACCGTTGTGGCCTCTCCCGCTGCGGAGCACAGGCTCCGGACGCGCAGGCCCAGCGGCCATGGCTCACGCGCCCAGCCGCTCTGCGGCATGTGGGATCTTCCCGGACCGGGGCACGAACCCACGTCCCCTGCGTCGGCAGGCGGACTCTCAACCACTGCGCCACCAGGGAAGCCCCCTTTGTCCATTTTTTAATCAGCATATTTATTTTTTGTTGTTGAGTTGTAGGAGCTGCTTTATATATTCTAGATGTTACCTCCTTATCAGATATGATTGGCAAATATTTTCTCCCATTCCACTGATTGTGTCCTTTGATGCACATGTTTTTAATTTTGATATAGTCCAGTTTGTCTGTTTTTTCTTTTGTTTCCTGTGTTTTGCTGTCACATCCAGGAAATCCTTACCATGTACTTTGTTTTAATTTATTATTTATTTATTTATGTATGTAATGGCTGCGTTGGGTCTTTGTTGCTGCGTGCGGGCTTTTTCTAGTTGTGGCGAGCCGGGGCTACTCTTCGTTGTGGTGCCCAGGCTTCTCGTTGCGGTGGCTTCTCTTGTTGCGGAACACGGGCTCTAGGCACGTGGGCTTCAGTAGTCGTGGCTCGCGGGCTCCAGAGCTTAGGCTCAGTAGTTGTGGTGCATGGGCTTAGTTGCTCTGTGGCCTGTGGGATCTTCCCAGAGCAGGGCTTGAACCCGTGTCCCCTGCATTGGCAGGCAGATTCTTAACCACTGCGCCACCAGGGAAGTTCCTAGGTAATGGGTTCTTTATTCAAGAGGCCCTAGTTTCTATAAGATCCTCTGAAATTAAGAGAATTATATTCATTCAGTATTTCAATTTTGAATAGTATGCATTATCTTTACTATAACAGATAAGGAAATGTATACCCTACTCCATCTCCAAATATTTGAGTATCATTTTTGCTTTATCAAGGTTTTTAAGTCTGTATTCTATAGCCATAATTCTCATAGCTGTTTAGCCTATGAATTCTTTATTTTGACTGTTCTCTCCTAGCTGGAATCTATCAAGTAATAGCCTCAAAGAGGGCTCGTAGGTGTTGTTCTTACTTTAGAATGTGTGTGCTGGTCTGCCTTTATATTTGAAGGACAGCTTATGTATAAAGTTCTTAAGCCCCACTTTCTTTCTTCAAACTTTGTAATTGCCCATGCTGTCAACAGTGAGAGCCCCGCCAGTCCTTTTATCTGGTACCTCCTGTCATCTCCCGTGGCTGCGTCTCACCGGGAAGTATGTTTTGGCATTGAATGTTGCTTTGTAGAAGTCTGAGGGTGGACTGATTTCCACCCCGCCCCACCGCCGCCACCTTTGTAACTAACTTTATGCTAGGATGCCTGTAGAATTTTATTTATTTATGAAGTCCAGGCACTGAACTAACATATGTCTTGCCGTCCCATTGTTCTATAATCCTTTTATTGTGGGACAGGATAGGTCTTCTGACCTATGTATTTAGTTTTTCTTCCTTTTTATTTCTGAGTATCTTTTCTGTTGAATTTGTAGCTTTTCTATGGAAGCAACACCAGTTGCTTTGGTCACCTTTCTCCTCTCAAATGCATGCTTTTCCCTTTCCCTCTACATTCATTGAGATTCTCTCAAGCCTTTTTTTCTACCTGTAATTAAGTTTCACCTGTCTTTTCTGTTTCTTGTGGTTTCTGATGTTTTTCATTGGATGTGTAATGGGACTGTTTTGATCTCCATATGCCGTGTCTTTCTCCTCCCCCTCCCTCATCCCCCAAATGTGGCAGGTCTCTGGGCTCATGTATAATACTCAGCTACTTGGTATTTTATTCTCTCTAATTCTTTACACCTCCTTCTTTCATCTCCTGGTGGTTACTAGTACTGAGTTTCAGCCTTCTAATGCCCTCTGAAAACTGCCTGTTGCTCATTCTAGTTGGGAATTATCTCAAATTCACCACGTTATTTTTTCAAAATCAGCTCTATTTTGGCCTTTCTTTGTACTGTCTTTGATTTTCTTTCTATTATTGCTGTCTACATTTTTTAAAAGTATTTTTCTTTTGCTGCTGCAAACCAGTTGCCCAACTGCTCCTTTTCACTCCTGATTTCCTATTCTGATTTCAACAGGAGTTCTTGTTGCTCATGTTCTCTTGATGACATTCTTCGTGGCTCCATCCATCAATAAACTTCTATAAATTCTTACGATTTATTTTTTACTTTTTGCCTGTATCCTTTCTTGGAGGTAGTGTTCTGTCAGTGTGACATATTTTAAAATGATCTTCAATGTCAGATAGTCTAGACATTTGCAATGAAGACTAATTGAGATTTTTTGTTTATTTTCAAAGTATATTTTACTGGGACTTCCCTGGTGGTCTAGTGGCTGGGACACTGTGCTCCCAATGCAGGGGGCCTGGGTTCGGTCCCTGGTCAGGGAAGTAGATCCCACATGCCACATCTAAGAGTTCGCATGCCACAACTAAAGAACTCACATGCCGCAACTAAGACCCGATGCAGCCAAATAAATAAATAAACATTTTTTTTAAAAAAGTATATTTTACTGAGAAATCTGTGGGTTTTTTTTGCAATAAGCAGTCACTTTTTGTAGGAATACTGCAACTGTATTGTGACTGAAAACTAGTGAGCACTGTTTTTGCTTTAAGTAATTATTTTTTCAGTGTGTAGGTAGAATCACTCCCTGTGGCAACGCCAGTTATCCTCATATTGAGCCATCTTTTTCCTTCCTTTGTATTTTCTTCTAATTGCTTAACAGTTAACACTTAGGATGTGCCAGGCTCTGTTCTAAGTATCTTACATGTATTGGCTTGTTTACTCCTCCTTACAGCAACCTTGTCATCATGATAAATATAGTCATTATAACATAGAGATGAAATCACTTGCTCAGGGTGGTCGAGCTGGGGTTTAAACTCCAGCAATCTTGTTCCAGAGTCTGGGCTCTATCCACTAAGCAAACTTTGAAATTTTTTTTTTTTTGATGGGTATACTATTTTATTAACATTTAAATTTCACCAAGAGTTCAAGTATATGCTAGCCATTTGTTCAGATTTTTGAAATAAAGACAAAATGGGCAAACGGCTTTGAGGGTGCGATGTATTTAACACTGCCCAATATATTCACCAACTAGACAATCGAAGGGGTGGTATGACTATACACTTAGGAGCACCAAGTACAGGAACAAGCCCTGGAATTGGAAGAAAAACCTGCCATTCAGGACTGAACAGAGGTCTTTGGTTGCTGACAGAATCTCCCCTTGACTTCAGACATGAGACAAACTGAGGGAATCTGTCAGTATACAAAAACCACTGCCTTTAGTAACAGGATGGACTTGCCAGAACCAATTCAGATTGTGGGGACCAGTCTGAAGTGAGCAGGGTTGGCTGGAGGCTGGAAATGTTGCAACTGAAGGCCAGCATCGGCAGATGACAGCAGCCGTGTTCTAAAAATCGCTGATTTCTACACAAGTTCCTAAGATGCTTTCCCCAAACAGGGCAAACTTTGAATATTGAGTGTATCTCATAAGTTTTCTGTTTGCTGGAATCCTGAATATGTTGTATTTTTCAGGTCTTTCTGTGGAATTCGGAACCATTCTAATATACACATGTGAGAAGAGTTGCTGGCCTCAAAATCATCAGACTCCCGTGGAAGAATTTTGTATTATCCAAGAGGACCCAGATGAATTATTATTTAAGTAGTGCGTTTCCTTTTGTGTTTTTTTGTTTGTTTGTTTTCATTTTTGGCTGCGTTAGGTCTTTGTTGCTGCACGTGGGCTTTCTCTAGTTGCAGAGAGAGGGGGCTACTCTTCATTGCAGTGCGCGGGCTTCTCATTGCGGTGGCTTCTCTTGTTGCGGAGTACAGGCTCTAGAGCACAGGCTCAGTAGTTGTGGCCCATGGGCTTAGTTGCTCTGTGGCATGTGGGATCTTCCTGGACCAGGGCGTATTCTTAACCTCTGTGCCACCTGGGAAACCCTTTCCTTTGTTTATATAAATTAAAGCAAATCTTAATGTTTAAATTGTGTTTTTACCTCATTTTGACTCACAATTTATTAGCTCTTGTTTCTTGTTTCTTTTTGCTTTTTCGCACCCCTGATGGGTCTGGAGCCAGGACTAGAACCTCCCAGCTGTGGACTGGTTAACCCTTCCAGGGTCAGTGGCCTGTGTCCACAGTGGCAGCTCAGAATGTGGCTCCTCTGTAGCCCAGAGGGCAGGTGATCCTATGTAAGCAGACCGGTGGGTTCTAGGAGGGAGAGCAGCTGGAGAGCCATGAGCGCAGCCAGCCACGTACTACCCCTGCAGCCTTGGCACTTTTGCTGTCCCTGGGTGCTGACAGAGCAAACTACTGGAACTGCTCCAGCTGCTTGAGGCTCCTGCCCTGTGACATGAGCTGTTTATACCTGCCTGGTGTTCCCCCACCCCAGGCTCTCCGCCCTCACCTCCTGCCCCTAAAGCATCACAGGAAGGGGGCCCTTTCTCTCTTCTGGACATTGTCCTTCCATCCAGCTGTCTACCTCTCCAATCTCCCCTTTCTCCATTTAGTTTTTATGTTCTCAGCTGCTTCCATTCTGCTACCCCTTGACAGCAGCATGAAAACACCTCCACCAGCTGTGTACAGACCTGCTGTTTGCCTGCATAGATGAGGAAACTGGGTATTAACATAAACAATTTGATTTATGTTAATAAACATAAACTTTGGTAAATAACACATTAGGCCCATATTATCATGAGATGTGGTTCTCCTGGGCAGTGTGTGACTGGTGAGAACCCTACCTGATGCTGCCCTGCCCTCTCCCCCTTTCCTGGGAGGGTGGGAGGCACCTGGGGGAAAGTGGCTGGCTGTGTAGAAGAAAGCGAAGGTGTTGGTCAGTGATATTTCAGGATCCCTGGGTTTGCAGGGCTGCGGCTGAGTGTGGACCTGCAGAGAGAGGTTTTGACTCCTCCTCTGTCATGCTGGAGAAGTGACCACCGGTTCCCCTGTGGCACTTCTGTTGTGGGTGGAGAATCCCTCAGACTGTCAGACCACTCACTCCAACTGGAGCAGAAAACATACTGCTTATATTTGCAGGTATATCACTTTGGATTTATTTAAATGGCCAGAGAGTACCCTCTTCTGATGAGAGGATGGGGTAGAATTGTTGCTTTAAACTGTTGATACAGACATTTGTAGACATCTGAGCTAGGTGTAATGTGGCTGACTTTTAGGTGGAGACAACTTGTGCTTCCAACCAAACATGTTCTTGAATCTAGTTATACATGTTTGTATGAGGTCTTACCAAAACAGAGTACAGATTAGCAGGGGCGTTTCCCATGATCCCATAGAAATAATGTTTGTGACATATTGTTAAGGAAGCAAGATATGAGAAAACAAGTCTAGTGTGAACCCACTTAAATGTAAAACTCTTCATAGTGCTGTGCAAAAGATCTAGATCTGGAAATATAAACACCAGCAAGGCCCTGAGGAGTAGGATTAGGTGTGCAATTTTTGAGTGGTGCTTTTCAGTTTTTACTTCCTGCACTGGCATCCTATTTGAATTTGTTAAGGTGGGCAAGCATTTTATACTTTATACACACTGTTAAAAGATAAACTGAGGCATAAGAATTTATTTGAGCAAAAATCAATTGGAACCAGGCAGCACCCAATCTAGCAGAAAGGAAGGAGCTTCAAGGAGCTAAACAAAATGACTTTTACAGGCAGAAAGGGACAGGAACAAGAAAGTTTTATCAGCAAAATAGGGGGTTGGTTATTGCCAACTTACTTTCCTTTAGGGGACGGCAGGGGTCTTTCAGGTAGATTACCTAACCAGTGCTGATCCGGTGATTCCTGATTGATGGTTTAAGATTCCATTTCTGGGAGAGCCGAAACTGTAATTAAGTCTCAGTTTGGTGACATGGGGCTTAGCATAAGCGACTCCATTCTGAGCTTGTATCTTGTTTTTAACAACACACCAACCCACGAAGAATAGCAAAGCCTCAGGGTTAGGTGTCCAGCCCAGGCAAAGGAAAGAGGAGGGAGGCAGGAAAGAAGCAAAGGAAGGTGGCTCTATCCACTGTGTGTCTAGTGGGAGAAGGAAGGTCAGCATTTTGTTGAAGACCTCTGTTAGCTTTGGCTGCCACAGGGGGCCTTTATGAGAGCCAGTAGTAGGGAAGGAACATCAGCAGCTTACTGTGCAAGGGTGCCTCCCACCCCAACCACGGTTGGGTGCCCTGGCCCTTCCTTCGTCTCATGGATCAGGGCAACAGACTGAGTACCCCTCACAGATCAGGCTTGGTGTGTGGTTCGCGAACCAGCAGCTGATGAGGAAGACCACAGAAGTCAAAAGCATTTTCCTCTGTTTTCCACTGTCAATCAACAAAACGAAGAAAGAAGATAAGAAAAGAGTATATTTGGCGTCATAAGAATTGCAATTCGGAAGACACAGATTTGATTAAAAGGGAAGGAGTGTTCCGGGGAAGAGAAAAAGTCAGGGGCTTAGAAAGGCAAAAGCCACGAGACTGTACTCTGACACAAGAAAAAAAATACTCGTCCTTAGGGATGGCGGTCACGAGTTGTTTTAGGTTAAGGATCTGATAAATAGATAGGCTGTCATGAGTTATATTAGGGTAAGGGTAAGTATCAAGTTTCTGGCAGATGTTCTGGATGCCTTCCTTAGGACAGTAAGTGGTCAAAACGTCAGATTTCATCCAGGCTGAGCCATGCATAAATTACTTTGTCAGTGGCCTTCCAGCTCCATTTTGGAGAGCTCTCTTAGCAATACTCTATTTTGATTTTCCTTTCACACCGTCTTTTCCTTTTTTCTTCTAATAATTTTTTCTGATTTTAAAATTCACATTTTCTTTGAGGAGAATGAGCATCTGAGAAATACAGTAAAGTTTAGAGGAGAAATAAAAATTATCCATAATTTCATCACACACAGATACACAAAAATATTAACCATGGTTATTTTCTTCCTGTTTAAAAAAAGTTTTTTTTAACAAAATTTAATCATATGTGTGGTTTTGTATCTTTGTGTTTTCTTTTTCTTTTTTTGTTTTGCCTGCCGGGCTCTCCATTGTGGCTCGTGGGCTCCAGAGTGCATGTGCTCAGTAGTTGCAGGTGCTGGCTTAGTTTCCCCGTGGCATGTGGGATCGTAGTTCCCTGATCAGTGATGGAACTCGCGTCCCCTGCATTTGCAGGCAGATTCTTAACCACTGGACCACCAGGGAAGTCCTTGTATCTTTTTCATTCAATATTATGAGTGTTTCCACCATCAATATTTTCCCAGGACGTACTTTGTAACTGAAACTGAGTCCCTTGGAAATCGAGTTCCTTTACTGAGTTTATGATAAATCTCTCTCCAAAACTTTATTCCCTTTCTTATCCCCTCTGATCTCAATCCTGTGCTAACTGAACACTAATCACCCAGAGTCAGATGGCTAAAATTGCTGTTGTTGATAACATCGTTAATGTACTAACCTTGCTATTATAGATGTCAGCATTAAGGTATAAACTCATGTTGTTTCTCCAGAGGAAGATGAGCTAACAGACTCCTGAACCATGGACCACGTGGCCAGAAAACTGTAAACCAGAGACAGACATCCTAACTCCCAATTAAGAAATGTCACAGAAATGTCACAAGATGATGATTAATCCCAGCCTCTTTGTTCTTCCCCTTGTGGACTTAAAAAATTATTCACAACCTAAAAGTTGAGAGTTATGTTTTATTTGGCGGGAATTTTTAGGTCTTCAAGCCCGGGAGGCAGCATCTCAAGTAACCCTGAGAAAACTGCTCTGAGGAGGTGGTGGGGTGGGGAGAGACAGGTTATATAGAAGTTTTGCAACACAGGGCAGGTAGTTGGAACATCAAAGGATTATTCTAAATTAAAGAAAACCAGATACCCCAAATTAAGGAATTTAGTGCTTTTCTATGTATGGGAAGATGCAAGAGTCTGGGCTCACTGAAATCATTCCTTTGATATGCACCTCAGTTATCTGGGGCCAGTATCCTGTGTTTTCACATCCTCAGTTCCCTCAGGGCTTACGGTGGGGAGTGGCTGTAGTCTGATGGCTGCTAGATGGCAGGTATTCTTTCCTTCCTGAGTTTCCTTGGGGCTCACCAGCTCACGGATGGAGGGCTGCAATTGCTGATGACTGACATCCTTTGTTTACTGATGTGGCAGGAAATATTCCATTCCTCACCCTTAAAAAAAACCCCTAGGGCTTCCCTGGTGGCGCAGTGGTTGAGAGTACGCCTGCCGATGCAGGGGACACGGGTTCGTGCCCCGGTCCGGGAAGATCCCACATGCCGCAGAGCAGCTGGGCCCGTGAGCCATGGCCGCTGGGCCTGCGCGTCCGGAGCCTGTGCTCCGCAACGGGAGAGGCCACAACAGTGAGAGGCCCGCGTACTGAAAAACAAAAAACAAAAAACAAAAAAAACCCCTCTAACTCAGAGACCAAGTTGAAGTGGATCTGAGGCTTGCTTCCCACTCCCTTGCTTGGCACCCTGCAGTAAGTCCTTACTTTGCTGCAAACTCCCCTTGTCAAAGTTTGGCTTTCTTCAGTTGGGGCATAAGAGGCCTCTGCTCGGTTACATATATGCTGCAAAGTATTTTTTTAAAATACACATCAAAAATCTAATAAATCTTAAGCCGGATAGCAGAACTACGCGCCTCGGTGCGAAGCACTACCAGCCTGGAGTACAGCCGGAGGTGTGAAGAGTCTTCTGCTCACAGTCCAGCCCAGTCCGGGCCGCTCGCGGACTGGCCAGGTCCCCAGGCCCCGCCCATTCAGCGCCGACAGGCGGCCGCAGTGCGCAGGAACGGAAGCTAGGCCGCCCCTCCCCCACTCACTTCCGGCCGCGGCTCAGTTCTCCCGCCTCCGCCTGCGCCGAGGCTCGTGGTTGTCCCGCCATGGCACTGTCGCGGGGGCTTCCGCGGGAGCTGGCCGAGGCCGTGGCCGGGGGCCGGGTCCTGGTGGTGGGCGCGGGCGGCATCGGCTGCGAGCTCCTCAAAAACCTCGTGCTCACCGGCTTCTCCCACATCGACCTGGTGAGGGCCAGGCGTGCGCGCGGGCTGAATGGCGGGCCGTGGAGCCGGGGCCGGGGGATCGGGGCCCGGAGGTCCGGACCTGAGCTGTGGGTGCGGGGGCGGACCAAGAGGCCCTGGGGTCGTCGCTGCCCACCTAGAGGGAGCTCTTCGGCGGCTGCGGGGCGGGCGCCGCTGCACGCCGGGCCCGCTCCGCAAGCTGAGGAGGCCAAGGGCCCGGGTCTTCCGGGCGTCCCGCGAAGAGCCGTCCCCCGCCTCCCAGGCAGCGCCAATTTGTGGCGGCTCTGGGGTGTGGAAGAGTCCTCGTGTCTTCGCTTCAGAGCAGTTCCCCAGCTTTAACCGGAGGCAGGAGAGGATTGTCTCGAGTCCCTTGGGGATGTTGTGAGTGTTCAATTCGAAGTCCCCCTTAACTCAAATAATATGCAGAGCAGAGGATGGCGGTGGTAACAACCAGGACCTACTGAGCGCTTGTCCCGAGCCCGGCGCTGTCCTGCGCGGTTTACTCGCCTTAACGCACTTAATCTTCACTACCATCATAGGCTTGTAAACGCTGTCTTCACCCCATTTTATTTTTAACAGATAAGAGGAAAAGTGAGGTACTGTGGGGTTTAGTGACTTACCTAGGACTCCTTTGTGGCTCGCGCTCCTCTCTTCTGGCTGGGTGCAATCTGCGTGACAGTCATTGTTATCACCGTAGATTATTTCGTTAAAGGTATTGGTTAGGATTTTAACTTTTGCATTGTTGAACAGTGACGGGAAGCTACTGTAATTCTGAGTCAAGTCATTTCTGTTAACGTAAACTTTTTAGAGATTGGAGTTGTAGCCTGAAATTTGGATGTGAGTTTATAGAATCTTAAGGTGTAGTGGAAACAGGGAATTATAAAAAAAAAAAAAGTAGAGGTGGCCGACTGAACTAATAAATGAGTGACTGGGGGGAAAAGCATTTACGCGTTTTCCATTGGTTTTTATAGGGTTAGTCTTTCCATTCAGTTCTGTATCCCAAATATGAATGTGGCATAGCTAATACCTACTAATACTTCTTCAAAAGGATCATTTTGTAATAGACAAGGCAGCGAATTTGGGCACCTGAAAAATAAATGCTGATCCTTTTTTATTTGGTTTAATTTTTGTAGTAAATTTAGAAAGCACAGATAAAAAATGTTAGGTGATTATATGTTTTGGTGATTTTCACCAAAACCATTAGGGTGTTTCACAGTTAGAACATTTGATTACTCTTCATGTAACTTTATTGAAATGGAGTGAAAATGGTTTTAGTTATAATTATTTCTTCTCTTATATTTACTTTGAAGCAGCAATTAGATAAGACTTAAAACGTGAGACTTCTAACCTTGTGTAGAAGCTTCCCTCCACAGCCCTCAAGTAATGATTGTAAATGAAATTGTGTGTGGGTAAAGACTTTTGAATTAAAGAAAGCAGCAAAAATTCAGTAAATCTATTTGGCAAGTATCATTTAAGAAAAAGAACAGGGCACAGTTAGATCTATTATGTTGGATTTGAAAGAGTAATCAGATTGATAGAGAAATGATGGAAATATAATGCATTTTTAGCATCATTTTGTCATCTAAGGAATTACCTAACATATTTGCCAGTATGATTAAACAAATGAACAAAAAAACATCCTTTCTAAAATATTTTTGAGAAAGTTGTATCTGAAATTAAATCTTGTTTTGTTTTAATACGCATTAAATTATTTTGATCAATTTAACAACTTTAGTATATTGGTCAAAAAGCATTTTCTCCCCTAACGTGGCAGATATCAAAACTTCTGGGTTATGGATGCTGAGGATAGGGATACGTATTGCTCAGACATACCAGGAAATTTGTGATTTATCTGGGGTTTATGCATTTGTAGATTGACCTGGATACTATTGATGTCAGCAACCTCAACAGGCAGTTTTTGTTTCAAAAGAAACATGTTGGAAGATCAAAGGCTCAGGTAACTTTGTATTTCTCATATCATTTCTATTTATTCACTTATATTTCTGCCCTTTGGTGGATCTTCTATTTATGGTATTAGGTTAATTTGGACTCTCTAGTAGGAGGGAGAATATGGGGGAAGCCATCTCTTTTTAGCTGAGGGATTATGAAGAATAAGAAGATGTCTAGAAAAGGACAGAAGACTGTGCCATCCTTTCTTATCTACAGAGGAAATAAAAGTGCTCTACCCAATCCTGTAAATGGTGTCCCCTTCTTAAATTTCTGATTGTTTACTTAGAATGAGCCTTGTGTTCCTACATTGCCTAGAGCTTGGCTGCTCCTGTGTTTGTGGGCAAGAGAAGCTACAGCTTATGTCATTGTCCCCTTTAGAAGAAAACAGCCTCCCCTGAGTTCTAGCCATCTAGATCTTTCTTTAGTTCCTTGAATGTTCCATCTTGATTCAGGGTTTTAAAACATCTTTCTCTTTGCTTTTTCTCCCAGCTTTTTGGGCAAACTTACACTCTTCTCCTTTTCATTTTTCAGATTTTCTCTAGGCATGCTTTCCTGAATCTCTTAGACTAAATCATATCTTCCACTCATTACAGCCTCTACTTTTTCTGTGTATCATTTATCATAGTTTGTAGTTAAATTTATCTGGATGGTTATTTGATTAATGTCACTTTTGCTCACCAAGTGCCTTATACAGTTTCTGATATATGGAAGATGCTTAGTAAATATTTGTTGAATGGATGAATGACACTTGGTTACTGCATTTGATATTTTTGCTGAAGCTTGCCATTCATGTACAAGTGTATATAAGTAGGTGAAATAACTATTGTCTGCCATAGATAGATTTCATATTCAGATAGAAATGTTGTAGTAATTTAGTAAATTAGTAATTTAGTGTTGTTTGTTTTTCCAGGTTGCCAAAGAAAGTGTACTGCAGTTTTACCCGAAAGCTAATATCATAGCCTACCATGACAGCATCATGAAGTATGCGCTAATTATTATGTTGCAAAATTGTGTTTGCTGTGAATTTTTAATTAAACCTTTAAAGTATAATACTTTTATTAGCTAAATATATGAACTCAGAGTCATTCTGCTTATTTAAAAATTTTTCTAGAATAATTAAAATGTAGTAGGTTGTGTCCACATAAGTGACATTCTTTTAACAGTTCATATATATATATGTGTGTGTGTATATATATATATGTATATATATATAATTTGAATGATTTAGATAAGAGGTCATTTACTCTAATACTGTCAATAAATAAGTTACTTGGAAACCTAAAAGGACCTTATATTCTTGTTTTAAATAAAGAGATATTCTAAACTATAAGAAATCAATATACATGATGATTCAGACTTTTCTAAATATATTGCTCTCATTCTGATCGATTTCAGCTGTGGCCTTTTTCAGTTTAAAAGGTTCCCTCTCAAAATAATTTGTTTGTTAGGACTGTGACTTCTGTAATATAACACTGGGAATTGTGATGGGGCAGTAGTTTTGATGGTACATAAATATACTCTGATCTCAGTAAAGATAGAGTAAAAATATAATTTTGGAGGCGTTGGGGCAAAGGAACCCTGCGTCTAAAATGTCCTTTATCTATAGTTGTTGTCCACAAGTAAGTGGTTTTAAAAATAATGAGTTCTTGTTTGAGGCCTGGATTAGAGAAAGTCTTGTGCTTTCTCAGGGAATTTGTGTTTCCAGCTTCCTTT